GGTTCCCAAGGAGTCTACGATTCATGACACGCGGTCAGTCACAAAGAATATGCTGCGAGGTTTCCTCCACCAGTCCCCAAACCCTGCAGTCCGTCCTGTCAGGTAGCCTATAATAGTCCTAAGACCCTCCCGGCGAGTTATGAGTTTCTTTGATTTTCTCCTTCCCTTTTAACGCCGCAGTCACCCACAACCGCGTCACTGTATTATGGGCTCCTATGCTGTTCCGAAGAGTTTTATAACTGTCGAAAAGCCTTGATGTCGTTCTTAATGCGTCTAAGGCCTTTAGTGCTCTTGTAAAAGGATAATTTCGGCAACATAATATCTGTGAAATGGATAGCGGGAGAATCAAGGAATGGCTTGAGAACCTCCAAGTGACTCCAAAAATCTCCACTTTTCATCCTAATTAGCCGTAGGGCGCACCAGCAGGTTTCCTTTTCAATCACAATCTAGCGTCCGCTAGACAGGTGCGCATAGCTCCTATGATGCCCACGCAGACCCGGTGGTGTAGCTCGCTCAAGGTGGCACCCGCACTCACTCGCTTTATTTTGGCCATCAGGCCAGTGCCGCATATGTAACACGACCATACTGAAAGACCAATGCGTAGGTTGGGTGATTTTCACTTGTTTTGCATTTTGTATTAATTTGCAGATGAAGATTTGATAAAAAACAATGAAGGTAAAAAAGCGAAAAAAAATTAAAACTTAAAATTTAAGATAAAGACGAAAAAAAACAGTGAGAAATTCATGCGCATAAGAATTAAGCTAACTGAAAGGGTAAGAAGACTTAATGGTAAGAATCAAAATTAGTATGTATGTATGTATATCCATTAATCAAAAATCAAGTTATCGAAAGTTATGAACTCGTCGAGTCATCGAATTTATCGCAATGTATCTGGTTACCTATGTTTATTGAGTTATCGGAATGTATCGAGTTATTCAAACTGACCAATGTTTATTGAGTTATAGAAACAAAAACTTATTTGCAAAAATTTATAAATAGTTATCGAGTTATAATAGTTTATCGGATTATCGAAAGTTGTCAATTTAATAAAATTTATGAAGTTATCGATATTTATTGAATTATTAATATTTATCGATTCTAAGAAATTTATAGTAATCGATTTTTTTTCGAACTACCAGAGTGTATTGAGTTATTGAAACTTGTCGATAGATATCAAAATTTATGGAGCTATCGAAATATATTGAGTTATTTAAAGTTTATCAAGTTATCAATATAAATCGAGATATGTAAATTTTTACGAATACGTTTACGAAAGTAAAGGCGGAGAAGAATACGAATATGACGACGAACACGAAGACTAACTGCCATACCTAAACAAAAGCGTCAGCGTTGCCTGACGTAGCGTTGACGCTTTTGTTTAGGTAATGCATTTCGGCGTTAACGCTAGGCGTCAGAAAACGCTCCGCCCAACGCTTTTGTTGAGGTATGGCAGTAAGACGAAGAAGGTCAGACTGCAGCTGGGTATTCACGTCGACGACGAACCAATTCCGACGACGAAAAACCCAAAAATCCTCGGAATAACCTTCGCCAGTCTGCTCTCCGTTTTGGCGCATACAACCGCAATTGTCAATCGCCCCCAAGTCGCTAGCCAGCAGCACCTGGGGCAAAGACAAAGAAACGTTGTTGGCAACATACAAAGCAATTGGCCAACCGGTCCTAAATATGCAGCGCCCGTGTGGTCGCCGGGGACCAGCAGGACGCAGTAGACGAATCTGCAGGCATGCCAGAACACGGCACTCCGGACCGCGATAGGATGCCTTCTGATGTCGCCTCAACACCACCTTCACGACGAGGTCCAGATGCTCCCCACCGACGTGGGGACCCGAATAGACAACTGCTTGCAGAAGAGCCCTCGCCAAGGCACATCAGGAAGCATCCCTACGAACTGACGGACGAAGTCCAGAGATTTCATAAACAAACTCTGGACCCAACTGCATACCGACTATCGAGTACAGATCCGCAAACGGCATTTGCGGTGAGTCAGTATTGAGCTATATATGTATAGACTCCCGACCTGTGAATGCCGTTTTGGGCACACAACCACCCGACGAGACAGAGCTTTGTCTGCCTAGAGAGAACTTTACTTTGTATACATAACTAGTTATAACTACATCAACATGGAGATATGGAGTCCACTCATACGTTCGATGACTATAAGCTTAAACTTGTTATTATTAAAGAAAAAAATAACCAGTATCTCAATTTCTTTAAACTGAATATATTAAAAGTGATTGACACTCGTATCATTTCAAATGATTGATTACCAAATGTTTCACATAAGTGCACTAATTACCAAGAGCAACTATATAAATGCCGAACAAAGCCTCATTTACTCAAAAATTTTCCGTAAATAGCTATTCGTAAAGCAATTGTACTCCAAAAATGAAGTCCTACCTGGCGTTAACTTGTGGCGTCCTTCTTGTTGGAGCGCTATGTGCCGTCCTAGCTGCACCATCTTCAGAATCATCAGATTCGTGTAAGCACAAAACCAGCTATTTTTATTATAAAAATATGTATACGCATTTAAGTTTAATTTATAAAAAAAATTTTATTTTGCAACAGCTGCATCGTCCTCATCTTCGTCCTCATCTTCGAGCCAAGAAGAACCAGTACTTACCTTCCCTCAATATTCCGCAGATCCTTGTAAGTTAAAATTATTCTCCATATTCTTTATGTTCGTAAGATCTCCAAACTTGTAGAAATAAAATTAACTTGTTTTTCGTTAAACAGCCAGCCTATTAGAGGACTTACCGGACGACTTAAGTGCGGATTTAGGTCTTGACGAGGGTGATGAAGATGGTTCTGGCCGACCACAGGGACGTACTCTGTTCTTGCTTTTACGCCTGTTGCAGCTGCTCTCTCAAAGTAACTCTACCCTTTTGGGCTGAGATGTGTAAAATTTGCGCATGTTTTCTCATGGAACACTGCTGCCACAATTTATTTTTCTTAAAATTTCAAATCGGGCTCCATTTATTAGAACGTTAATTTGTAAAATCATAAAAAAGTATGCAAAATACAAATGAAAATTAAATTTTACAATTTTGGTCCTCTATGGTGCTATAAGGATTAGTTTTACAAATCATACTAAATTATAGAAATGCCGCCTTCGGCCTTTTAGAGGTTTGCTATTGCCGGCCGATGAGCGATTGTTGGATTTTTCAGCGAATTTTCCAGGTTTTTCGAGATTCTTGAAGTTTCATTTATTGCTTTTTTTATTGTATTTTATTTGGAGAAATTTACGGATTCTTTGGGGGTATTTCGGGTTCCTTGTATCTAATTTTCGGGACTTTCCCGCGATGTTATGACCCTTTTCGGGATTACTTATTTTGGGACTTTACGCACTCCTCGGGATTACATTCGCATACACAAGAAAGTCCCCAAGATAGAGGCAACTAAATATTTTATATTTATTTCTTAGCATTCCAGCGAAAATGTACTTATACATTTACTAACAAAATTGTGCACATTTGTAGGACAAAACAAAATGTATTCAAATATAGTGCACTTTGATATCTATTACAATATCATTAATTAAATAATTATGTAATTAATAATTTCAAAGAGCTACTAAATAAAACAAATTTTTTTGACCATAACTGCTTCAATAATAAAAAGTCCCAAGCTCTTGGTTGTGCATTGGGTTCCAGGAAGATTTAGCAAACATTCAACTTAAGAGACAAGTATGCAGGTATGTATGTATGTGAGCTCCCGAACGAAATTTCCATAACCGCCATCTACGAGGGGCGGCTGATAACTTTATGAATTTTAACTTTTTTTTTTAAATTTCTCCTCAAAAGGTCTTTTTCTTCTCCCTGTAGTAAAAACATACATGTGTAACAAATAAAAAATGGTAGTCTAGTCAGTTTAAGCCACTTCCGGTCCAAACAGGAAGAAGTTTACGACAAAAAGTATGTATTTTTTTGCGCAAAAATTCCATAATCCTTAAAAAAAAATTGACTTCCGGTCAGTTTAACCAATTTTCGGTCGAAAATGGAAATCGGTAGTACGACCAAAAGATAGAGAATCCCCAATCTAGTAGGTCAGACTTTTGCCGTATTAATAAAAAGTAAAGTAGGTTTAAAGAACTTTATAAAATGATGTTTTTATACATTTTCCAGTTTATAAACCATTTTTAAAGCTACTTTATTTTTTATGAATAAGGCCATAAGTCTCAAAGTAATAGTCAGCGATGATTAAAAAAAAAATGACTCATTCATAACTATTACACCGTGCGAGCGTAAACAAAAAATTTCAAAGCTCACGATACTCACTCAATATACTATGGGTCAAATATAATACAACTGCGTTTTTAGTTTTCTCTTTGAAGTCAGGATTCTTTTTAAATCAGTTATGTATGTATGTATGGATAAATATTGGAAAACCTCAAGGATATTCAAGGATAAAATTTTAAAAGGCCTTTTCCAATACCTATTTGTGCTTGTGCATCAAAAGAGTTAATCTTTTTCAATTCCAAAAAAAGTGTTCTCTTTCTTTTGTTGCCCATACATACTTTTATGCTACATTGAACTGAATTTTTTAAATAATTTTTTTTTAATTAATCACATATTGGAAAGTTCATAGTTTTGTTGTTTTTTTTTTTTTAACTGAATATGCTGTTTTACTATGTTTATTTTCGCACGGTGTTATCAAAAAACTTTTACAATTCATACGAAAATTTAGATGACTTTCTATAACCCCATCATGAAATAATTATTATTTATGGCTCGCTGGTTTTATTAGCAATAATGAACGTTAAAGATATTCAAATTAAACTAACTGATAAATAAAATTAATATGCAACTCAAGGAATCTAAAATCGTAGTTTTTAATTATTTACTTACTTCACATAGCACTTTGCATATCTGTATGAAGTCATTTCTACAGAACAGGTTACCTCTCTCTACATACATAACATATTGTATACATATCTATGTATATATATACGGAATTTTTATATACAGCGTATTCCAAAATAGTTGTTTTATTCCTTATTCCATTTAAAACTTTTATGTTTTTATTTATTTTAAATTAATGTTTTGCTTTGCTTTCTTTCTTTTGCTTTATATGTTTAAATTAAACTTTTTAATACAATACATACATAAGTATAAGCTAACATTATTCTCGTACATCTGCAGCAACAACAATTCAATGTCCACTAATAATACGCGCATCCTTTTACTATACATACATATATATATTATTTTTATAGATACGCTACATATACATATATTTATACATGCATATATATATTTGTTTAATACTTTTTAGATGAATTTATGTAATTGTAAAATACTTATTCGAATTTCACAAATCGAAAATAAATTAATACTTCTAAAACTATGTAAATCATCGTAATTGGCAAGAGGTTTTCGTGTGTGTGTATGTGTATGCTCCCCAACATAAGATTCAGCTCAGTTTTGTCTAACATTCACATATTTTTAAAAATATAGCGCGCCGAAAAGCACAATTTTTATTTATTAAAAGCTGCTATGGAAGATTTGCCCTGCACCTACTAATATACCTTTCCAAAATAAACAAACTAGCAATATTGACTAGAAGTTAATTTCATTAATTAATAGACATATGTGTATGTATGTACGCTTCCGCTTGACTGCTCTTAAAATTCCCTCTCTTCTTTTGTCTTTTAATGCCAAATAGTTAGTCTTAAATAGCATTTCCTCTTCGCAGCACCAAACAACAGCGAGCAGTTCGTATGTGTCCGGCTGAATTTGATTTTTTTAGTGGGTGTGTGAGAGTGTTCAAAACTTAACGTCGTCCGAGTCCGAAACCATATCTGTGCGGGGGCGGGTCTTGAAGTGAGCGTTTTCCCAGACCAAAACTATAGGGCCGGTTGCGTTTTTCACCTATTTGTTTCGAATCAAAAATTAACCGAAAAATTAAGCTTTACTAGCATACGAGTGTATTAATTTCTTGAAAAATTACATACCAACAAATGCCGCATCGTAAACATTGTCATTGATAAGATCATCCATATACTGATCCTCATCGTATTCACCACGTTTGCCCAAGCCAAAAGAGTAGGGTCTGGCGCGCTTGCCTAGTCCGAAATTGTAGACTGGCAAACGTTTCATCCCATTGCCGCCGTTGGTGTATGTATATGCGCGCCGTCCTAGACCGAATGCATAACGCTCCATACGCTTATCATAGTTCGGTGTATCACTGCCGATGTAATTGTCTCGCGCATCCTCACTATCCATTTCGGAGAGTAGTGTATTTGATTGTTGTTGTTGCGGAATGTCAACTCCGTTTGGTTTGCCTTCAGCATAGGCTGTAAGCGCCAAAAAGACGGCGGAAGTAGCGAGCAGTAATACTGGCGTGTACAGGCTGCGACCAATGCTGGGATGATGGCTGGGCATTTTGCGCGCGTGCTTAGGTGTCACTGTGGGTACGCCTGTATGTGGGGGTAAGGATTTAAGCTGAAATGATAAGGAGAAAGAGGTGATTAATTGAAATGTAAAATTTGTACATAAAATTTCAGGTTTTATATATTTTCTAGCAATTTGTACAGAAAATGTGAAATGTAAAAAAAATTGTTATTGCTTTGCAAACTTTTCATATGGAGTTCAATAATAGCCGTTCAGGAAAGAAAACAAAAATTCAAGCTAAAAGGGTCGGTTCCGCATAGTCATAATTTAAAAGCTTTTAAGGCCGGATAATAGGTGCTTGTCTATATATTTTTTTTGTTAAGTGAAACTTCAGACTTCCTGAGCATAGCTTCGACAACGGAAAGAGGCTGATAGATTTCGCCGCGGCACGGAACAGTAGTACCAGAAACGAGCAGGACGAGAAACCACCACAAAGTCAAAGGATGATTAAAGAAAGAAGTAGTAAGACAGAAAATACGCTTCGAGTGTCGAGTTAGCGTTCCATTCGAAGAGCTAATACAGCTAATAAGCTAGGTATCGTTGCGCATCAGGCAGCGCGACGAAAGTTTGACAGCCACAACGGACAGCCGAGAAGTTTGGCAAACGACTCTGAATCCTCATCAATTCAAGTAATGCGCCATTTCCTGGATACATATATGTAAATGAGCAGTGGAATTCCATCTCTCAATCTCTTTGTGCCGCTGCAGAAGATGTGGTTGGATACTACCGCCCACGCAGCAACATCTGGTATGGCGAAGAGTGATGTATTGCTGCTGCAGAGAAATACGCAATATACAAAGCCAACCTGCATCCACTGTTGAGCAATACCGAGACGAGAGACATCTATTTAAAAGAAAGAAACGAACGACAGAGAGACATGAATGCGAAGACCTTGAGATTGGTGGCTTGATGTCTACAGAGATGAAGAGGGAAATCTGGTAACTTGAGAAGTGAAGGGAACTTTTCATAACGCTTTTGAAGGGCGACACCAGCGATAACGTGGCTTAAAATCTGAAGCATTCGGAGCCGACGATATAATGATACAGATCCGATTTGCCGCATATGCCAGCTCTTAAGCTCAATTTGGTCTGATGAACACCTTCCCGCAGATTAAAAGTTTGAACGGCGCCTTTATAGTTATGATTTCAGATAGCCCAGCAGCAATTAGAGAGCCATAATTACTGAGTGGGTACACTCTGAACGCAGTAGTATTTTAGAAAATAAAAATTATATCAAGGTTACTCTCTGGGTACCTGACTGGTCACAACCGATTGCGATTCCACTTGCAACGAATAGGTGTGATCTCTAATTCATCGAAATGATACTAAATCAAATCAAATTTCATCAAATCGGGTTGCATTTCCCAATCATACATACGCGTATTTCCACCATGATTCATTAAACTAAAATTTTGTTCATGCTGACGCAAATGAGGCAGGTTACTCCCCTAATATTTGGTACTTAACTTTATCGACTACCACATCATCGTTTCGTTTTGTTGCTTCGTCGCCGTCGCTGTTGGTTGTCAGCGCTTCTCGCAGAGGTAACATTGAGAAATTGTGTGCCACCAAGTGCATATTGTCCATATTAATGCTTGCAACATTTAGCCAAGTTAACTTGGTACTCAAAGTGAGTAAATATTTTTAAAGAATTACTGCTTACGACTTTTGCTTGCAGCGTATAAAGTAGCGCTTAAAAATTGAAAAATAATGTCATGTTAAGTACTACATAAGTATTAAAAGAGTAAGCTTGTGGAAGATAAAATAAAAACGTTGTGAATTCTGTAACATGGAGCTAGAAGATAGGGTCATATTGACAAATGGTTATCTGTGTAGCACCAATGGTTGGTGTGTTTGTTTGAGTTGAAACTTAAAAGTAGATAACACCACACAAATTTGCGAGTATCTACGAGTGTGTAGGTATGTATGTATTATAAAAAAACCGTTTCTTTTGAAAAGATGATACTAACCCTGCAAAAAATGGGACTAATCCGGGATGACTCCGGGAGCAATCGCAAAGGAGCATGCGACTAATACCACTTTTGATCTCTTTATATGGAATGAACTGTTCGCATTTGTTCGAGCATGTCCTATGAAGAGACTAATTGTTCACCTTTATACCCGAAAGGGTATAAAAAGCGACTAGTCACTTTAAAAAAATAAAAATAAAAATTCGCGCCAGCTGAGATTCGAACCAGGTTGCTCAGTTTGGTTAGGCGAATACTCTCTCTTTGTGCCAACGATGCACATGAAATTTCATTGACTAAGTCCGTACATATCATTAAATCGTTAATAGTACCCGTTAGAGATGAGTTGGGGACTAATTGATCTCCACGTATACCCATAAGGGATGAGTCGAGACTAATTGACCTCCATTAGTACCCGTATGAGACTAGTTGCGACTAATTAATGCCCAATCGTACCCGATTGAGAGTAATCTCGGAATACTCTCTTTAGAAATTAGTCGCACAAGTTTTTGCAGGGAATGTAGTCAAATGAGCTTATATGAATGCTTGTGACTGGAGGGACATTGAAAATCTCTGTATTTTAGCTTTGTGCGCTCAAAGACGAATATTAGTCAAAAATACTTAATTTTGAAGCCAGATTTTTCTGTGTTATAAAATATATACATACATGGGTACTATACACTTTTGCTGTCAATAAGAATTAGGCTAATATAATCATCGGAGAAATATTTAAAAATATTTAAAATTCTGACTGGTGGGACAGGTCCTTGTGACTGGTGAAAATCAATTACATATCGATGGCTAAGTGGAAGATCGACCTATCTCGGCAGCCAGTACGAAAATGCCCTATTTCACAAATCTTTTCAAGAACGCCCTATTTCAGAATTTCATTGTAGAACGCCCGATTTCAGAATTTCATTAAAAACACTCTATCTCAGAATTTTGTTAAAGAACGCCCTATCTTAGAATTCGGTTCAAAAGTGCCCTATCCTAAACGAAAATACATTGAAAATGTGCTGAGATTTGGGCGTTTTTCTTCAATCAAATTCTGAAATAGTGCGTTGTTGAAACATTTTCTGAGATAGGGCGTGTGAAGGAAAAGTTTGTTAGATAAAAATTACAGCTTCTTTTTAATTTTTTAATACATATTTTTGAGAAGATTAAAAAAAAGGCATAATTAAGGCATTTTAAAATATAGGTCAGTTTCTGTTTTTAAATGGAATATCCCCACTGTAAAAGTGGTTTTTCAGTTTTTTTTTTTAAATTTTTTTTAAAAGGATTTTGAAATTTCAAGGAATTTAGAATAACAATATGTGTATTAAATGAAAGAAAAAATTCTGAGTCAATCGTCACAAGCCTTTTTTATATCCTGTGGGTATACGCTCCCAAATATACTCCGCTACAGCGATGATTTTACCAATAGCTACTTAAGGGCATAGTATCTATTAGTATCAAAAAGCCCAAGCAGTGATTGCATTGTAAATAACAAGCAAATCACTTCGACTTTGTATAATTTGCAAATCTCACGCTATTCCATAATTCATTTTATTTTCTTTTAAAATTACCACACTCAGAGGGCATTGACAGAAAGCAACAAGAAATTACACAACTGGCACAACATCAACTACACCATGAATATGGAGAATGAAGAAGCATAAGTATACCTATGTTCGTACAAAAAAGTGAACTTTTTGTTTTTTTTTCGTTATATTAGCTCAAAGGATATTGCATACCTTGCAGAAGAGTTTGCACATTTTAAGTTCTCGTTGATGTATTTGTAGCAAGGTTTGGGAAATGCAAAAGCGAAAAAAAAACAAAACAGCTAAATAGGGAAGCACGTCAAAGATGAGCTATACAGCTTGGAACATCTTCAAGGTGAGCGGAAGTTATTATTGCTTCGGCGTTAACGAAAATGTGAATGCAAATTTTCCTAAGCAACAGCATTCCTTACCGTTGCAGGTGACAGTGTGAAAGAGTGTGCAAAAACGCGAAAAAAAGAAAGCAAAACTCGTAGAATGAAACCATTTTTGGTTTACTCAAAGATGTGCAAAACAAATTAATTTGCCACATGAGTGAGTATGAAAAGTGCAGTAACTATGTACATACATATGTATGTAAGCAGTACTTTGGGGATGACAAAAGTCTTGGCGCAAAGTCATCCCAGGTCAATTGGCAGGTTGTTGGTTGCGTAACTGTAAAGCATAATTAGATAGTTTCGCATAAAGGGCGAAATTTTAACCTTTGCTTTTAATTTTATGGTTTTCCTCTGGTTTGTTTTTTTTTGTGTGGAGGACATTACAGGGAGTTTGCATCTATTTCTAAGCTTATTTAAATTTATAAAATAATTTTACTATCCATACCTTTCAGTCCGGTGTCTAGTGCAAGTGTTTATGCCGACTTATTCTTAGGATCATTTAATCCTTTATTCAATGCCAAGGATATTTTCAGTTCGTTTTCTTTATTACAAAATGATGTGTTAGGCTTTAGTTTTAATTGCTATAAAAGTAGCTGAGCGCTACTTGTGTGTGAAAATTTATAAAATTTAGTTAAATACATATTATGTGTATTACACTGTAGAACAAATGTAGAATTCTTGTTAAGGGCTTTAATCAAACTATGCGCAAATGTTAGTAACCATACGCCATATACGGGGCATAAAAGGATTTTGCTTCCCCACGTCCCAATTAATTTTTTTTTTGAGAATTGGGCTGAGGCCAAGAAATCTCCTCTTTCTCTTGCGAAGGTAAGTCAGTTGTTAGGTAATTTTTACCGGAGCATCATCATACATGCTCGCACGACCAAGTCAGCGTAATCATTGTAATTATCTACATATGTTATTAAAGAGCTTATAAACTTCATCATTCCATCTTCTTCGTCACCCGTCGCCCATGCGATCAGGGTCCTGGATTTTGCGCAGAATAGTTCTTTCGAAAGGCCCCAGAGTCTTCTCATCTTTGTTCGACAATGCCCATTTTTCTGCGTCATATCAAAGAACGATTATGGTGAGGGATTTGCAGAAGGCTTTACTATTTCGTTGTCTATCGAGACCAAAGTAGTGTTTTTTGGCAAGTGTTAACTT